CTTTTGGCTTCTTCTGATACTTTTTCTGCTGCATTTGGAGTCTGGTGTTTTTCCAAAGTCGAATGTTGGTGTGACATGCAGTCCCCTTTTTTTGCCCGTTGATTTTGTCGAAGATGATTCTTTTTTGTCGAAATTGGATGGTTCAGTGTTGCCTTGTTTGGACGTTCCTTCTGCTTGTTGGCAATTTGTTCGCAGGGGATAAGTTCGAGACCATCCGAGATACGTTTTTTTCTTACATACGAAGGAGTAATTTTTGTTAGAGATGCTGCTCTCTTGTCCAAAGTGGATGTTTCCTTGTTGTCTTCATTTGTCTTTCCTTCTGATTCTACTGTCACTTGTTCGTAGGGCAAAAGTTCGGGACCATCCGAGATGGTACATATTGCTCTACCATACGAAGGAGCTTTTTTCGTCGGAGATGATTCTTTCTTATTGAAATGTGATGGTTCCGTGTTGTCTTGTTTTGACTTTCCCTCTGATTGAGAGGAGCATACATGTAGTTTGAGCCCATCCGAGATGCGTTTTGCACTTACATTCGAAGGAGCCTCTTTTATCAAGGATGCCCCTTTCTTTTCGAAATTAGATGGTACCGAGTTGTCTTGTTTTGACGTTCCTTCTGATTCTACTGCCAGTTGCTCATATGAGATAATTTCGAGACCTTCCGAGCTGCGCTTTGCACTCTCTTGCGAAGTTGATTTCTCTATATGGGATGATTGATCTCGCCTCTCTTGGACAAGCATTGTCTCCTCACAAACCGCAGCTGAGATACAATCTTCTTTTGCTTCTCTTTGTATTGCTGGATTTCTTTGCTCGTGTTGCTCGATGCGCAGCATCTCAACGTCAAGTTTAACTACGCCCCGTCCTTCTACAATGGGCTTGTCTTGTACGTTTTTATGGCGTCTACCTTGTGCAGAGGGTTTGGTGCTCCAGACACTGACCTGACGGTCATGTTTTCGGGCGTGAAGAAAGATTGCAAGATAGCACGCGCAGGCTGATAGAAAACAGAGGGGAAAATGCACTATGCGAATCCATCGAATAGACCTCAGAAACACTTCCTCTGGTCTACACCATTTGTCTGGTGTCCAAGTGTTAGTTCCCACTAGTAGCAATGCCAATACTGACATATACGCCCAAGAGAGCACCAAATAAACGTTCAGCTTTCTTTGGCTAAATAGTTCGGGATACACGTTGCCCCTACATATCTTTGTGTACCGTTCGAATGCAATCAGCATTAGGTGCATGAGGGATACGGAAACCAGCCATGAGTAGAGTGACAGTCTCCAAATGCAAAAATATTTCGTCGACAGGAGCTCTTCTAGGTAAACTATTATATAACTGTTTGGAGCACATTTTAAAAAAAGTGGCGGTAAACTTACCCCAGTTAGAGCATCTGCAATAGCCAAACTGAAGAAAATTGTATTTGTGCGGGTCTTCAGCCATTTGAACTTGACGTAAGAGATAATGACGAGTAGATTGAGGACTATTGCAGTCAAAGAAATCAAATTTCCAATCGTAGAGAAGGTGACACAAAACCAACTCCTTTCAAAGGAATTGGAAAATGAAACATTGTCATTCTCAAAAATTCCCGAATCATTCGTCACATTCTCCATATATTTATCCGTTTATATGAAACATAAAAGATCATCTATTTAGACGAACTGTCACCCGTTTAGAAAAAAATATTCAGGGAATACAAGTATCCGGTTGTTTTCTGATGTCTCTCTAAGACTACCAGTGCTTTTCTTTGCAATTCTGTCTCTTAACGCTAAGAGTGACGGACTTTTGCCATTGCTCTGAACGGCTGGCCAATGAAAAAGCATGATGCAGCCATAGTTCTTGCGTCACAATAGTATAATCCTCTCTGTAGGCCGTTGGTTGTCATTCAAGTCGACTTCAGAGCTAGCTAGGGTATCGTCATCATTACTCTTATTATTATCACGAATAAGCCAGCTCATGTTGCAAATGCTCTTTACTTTTGACTTAATCCAATCCCGGATTACCGGGGTATGTCCTCAAACTTTTCAGAAGGCTTTAAACTTTATTAATCATTACACTTGGTTTGTTCTAGAACTGCGTTTTAACTTTTTTAAACAAAGCCCATTGGGGCATTTCAAATATTTGATTAAAATTATTTCAAAATTATTAAATTTGACTGCAACGTCGGTCAGTTGCTAAATGTATATTCCAGTATCAGAGTTATTCATATTTATCATTCTTATTGTACTGGATGGTTAACAATATTTACTCATATGGAATTTAAATATCATGTTGAAGGGTGGTGACCTCTGGTGGCAGAAATGTCAAGCCCCGTGGACTGTTTACCACTCAAATGAGTATTTAAAACTCTTGATTGATTGCAGGAGGTTATGTTTTCACCCCTGTTTGTTTGCTTGTTTGTTTGTTTGTTTGTTTGTCTGTCATCAACATAACTCAAAAAGTTATGGCCGATTTTGATGAATTTTCAGGAACTGTCAGAAGTGGGCCAAGAATACAGATGACTAGAATGAAAGCTTGCCTATTTTATATGTTGTATTTAATTGGCTGTTAATTTTGCCACTGGCTCAGCAGAATAATACTTCATCGTTGATAATATTTTTTGTGACGGATCCCATAAATAAATTGCACCTTCATATGCCGCGTTCATCAACCACGAATCGGAAATATTAATTTAATTTACACCGAACAAATGACGCAGGTCTTTGCTCTTTAACGCATAATTGTTTCCTCCGTACATTTAAGCTCTTTAGCACCTAGCTTGTGTTATATCGTCATATCCTCTCCATGATTATATTCTATTTCTTCTTAACTGGAGACTGTGCAGAACACGCCTGCTCAAGCCGTTTTTAGCCTGCTTTTGACAACCAGGGTATATACACTTTAAATAAAGTATCCCTTCTCTCCATCAAGTGATTGTAATTAAACCAGGAGATTTTTTTTTTTTTTTTTTTTGAGATCTTTTTGGACTCCGCGCTGTCACGTTGTGCAGTCGTTATCCCTGGTGCCTGTTTCACAATAAATAAATAAATAAATAAATAAATAAATGAACTTAAGTCAGGTTCCCTGGAGAACAACTTAATTACCAACGTTACACGGTCACATGCGCGCATTTCAGTGGCGGATTTATGGGGGCTTTAGGGGGGCCCTGACCCCCCCTCTTCGATTTCTGTAAACAATCAAACCAATGTTCCCCCCTTAGAAATTTTGATTAGCTGAATCATAGTTCTTAACCGTACCAAATAGCACCGTTCGCCTTCTAAGATACCAACATTTTTCGGGGCTCGCTGAAGGGCCTCGCATTCCACGCCAAGGGGGGGAGGGGGGGGGCGAAGGTCGGCTTCGCATCTGCGGTCCGTCATTCCTAAAAACCGCGCCCCCCCCTCCCCCCCTTTCAAATAATCCTGGATCCGCCCCTACACCTTACCCTATCAGGAACAGTGTTACAACATTCTCATGGAAATTGTAGTCAACTGAGTCAGGAGTTCTTTTTTTTTTTTTTTCTATGTGAAACTGTGGCCTGTTTTTCACACAAGGCACTCATATTCGAAATCCGTCTAATAATTGACTGATACGTTACTTTTAGATCTTGAACGACCAGAGTGCATATTGCATCAAGCACAATGAAAGCCTGATTTTCAGCCCTGTCGTAAGTCACGGCATCGTCCAGTATAATGTTGAAAAATTATCCGTTAAAAGAGTGACTAACTCTCTGTCTTAAAAGAGAGACCAAATCTATATCTTACATTTGAAGATATCTCAAAATGTAGTACATGTATAAAAACGCCACTTTATTTTGAATTCATCTATATTGTAGTAAAATAATCAGTGAAGAAAATTCTCGTCTTGAATAAAATATAAACCATATTCATTACTAACACAAAATTGAAACAAAATTTACATACAGCGTTAACTTTTTCTAAATATGAATTCATCATAAATTTAGAGCAATCTAACAATATCCAGCCAAAAACATAAAACAAGCCATGTATATACAGTAGTATTTTATTGAGCAAAATGTTTTTATAAAAACGAGAAAAATTTTCAAACAAAATCCGAAGAAGCTCCACATCTTTTGCCAGACCTCCTCCACCCAATAACCATACACTACCCTGAGTCTCATAATATGGATATCTTCCTATTATAGAAATATCTGAATGCACATCAATGGATGCTTATTAACTTGTTACCAGGCAGGTGGTGGCACATATGACAAGGTGTGACAGAACGGAATTAACACTAAAAGCAACATCTGGTGTATGATCAATCCAACTAAAATTACATTTTTTTCCTAGCATACAAACCAAAGGTCTGTAAGCTAACCTTTCCTATTGTCTCCTACGATTTGCCTGGTACAGAGGAGCTTAAATTGAACAATTTTTCAATTTTTGTATAATTTCGATAGCATGAGATACATGTATGAAACCAAATATCTCGCGTGTTTACATTAATATTTGTACGGAATTCTGGCACCAAGGTGGAAAAAAGCAAGAATCGCTGAAGAAATGACAAATAATAAAAATCACCAATCACGTAATCATTATGATTTAGTTCCGCTTACAAAGGAGGTTAGTTTTCTTCAAGTCGACACAACAGAGAAAGCGCATGCTTAATACATTTGTTGATTTTTTTCTCAGAGGTACATGTATACTAAACGACATCGTCATCATTGACTTTTCACAGAGTATGCGTCCCTTTGTACGGCCCAGTAAACATTATGACATTACACGTAGGGCGGTCTGTCATTTGTTCCGACATTTGAGAAATCAGTTTTGATTTTCATTTTACACCCCACCCCCAATCTTCCCCATGCTTGGAGTCTTGTGGTACGAAAATGTCGCCACATCCGAGTTATAATTTCTTGGAAGTAAAAGGCCTAAAAACTTACGGTGTTTTTTTTTTAACTGAGTCATGACAGATTTTTAACGGAAAGCAACGCTTTTCAGAAATCATTAAAATAGAGGTAAAATACGCCAAACTTTCATTTTTTAATTACCAATTATGTTGAATAATTAATAAGAGAATTTTTTTTTCTGTTTCTGTTTGATTTTAGGAGTGAATTACAGAGTTTAAGTGTATAATATCCATCTTACCAAAATGACAAATCAATTTTCATCTTACACAAAACGGTCCACACACCGCATCCACTTCTATCATTAATGTCTTAAATAAGTCCCCTATAAAAAAAGAACCCAGATAATAAATAAGCCATTACTTTCCACGCCTTTTTGAACCCAGATTTTTTTCTTTTCGTCTCAAGTCACTGACAGCATATGTGACAGTCGTCTTTTACGGTACAACGCGAACAAGGTAGCCAGAATTAGTGTGCCACAGATATAGGGGTTTGACTTCCAGTCCAATATCATCAGCCGGAATAAAGGGGATCCCTGTTTTTGGTCGAACTTTAGACTCTTTCTTTTCTTCTTCCCTCATGGCGGCCAGTTGTGAGGCACTCTGTGATCTCCTAGCCTTTTGTTCCGCGATCAGTTTGCCGTAGCCGTAGTCTAGGCTTTCGTATAAAAGTTTTCTCGCTTGGTCGCTAAAGTAATCGCTGCTTGGTGCCTTGCGTTGCGATGTAGCGAACATGTCCAATCCTTTCCTAGGGTTCGCCCCGTCGAAGTACGGTGGGGATGAAGACCAGTAAGTACTATCGTTAAGGGGTTTTCTGGCGTCCCCACGGGCGCCGACGGCGGGAGGGAGAATGAGGCGATCGCTGCTCTGTTTTTTGCTCCTTTTAACCACTACTTTTCTGTACGTCAGGTCCGGCATTGGTTTATTTATGACCATGTATTTTCCCTTAGCTGAGTAACCAACGGGCTCGGGATACTCGTGGAGATGCCATCCGTACGTTTGGTTGGTAGTGACGGGGCTGTCTTCGCTCCAATAGTGGGGGCGTTGGAGGGGCATTGTGGCTTAGGTACACTGGAAATGGCCGGAACTTTGAATATCACAGGCGCGAATATTAGCTACGGAGGGCCTACGACTGCACGCAGCACTGCACTCCGCAAATCTTACAACCTAAAAATGGAAAAAGAAAAAAGATTAACATAAAGCTAGTAAGAGTCAACTACTGAAGAGGCAATGCTTAAAAAATGTAAGGACCTAAGTGCAAGTGTAATCTCTGCAACGTATATGGATAATGATAATTTTAAACTGAAATGATGGCCTTATTTTCCTGTTGTAATTTCAATCAATAGAAGTAGTTAGAAATAGTAGTGGTAAACATTATATCATTATCTAACTTATTCTGTCGGTGAATAGGTACTCAGGTAATGTTTGTACTTTTATTCTTTCCGACATGAAATAAACTTTATTGTATTGTATTGTTTTGTAAGAGACATCTTGCTCTCATAACTTTATGTTATTGACCTAAAATAATCCCATACAGCTTTAGCAGAGTGTTGACGGCTACTATTTCAAGGGAGGCATTCTGTTGCAACTCCCATGGCTACATCATAATCGAATTTCTCGTTTTAATCAATACGGCTTTGGATCCACTGTAAAACATTACCTTAAATCACCACACAATGACCCTATGTTACATTGTGAAAACGGAGAATCGGCTGTTTTTACCAGCAAGACTTCGCCCACTTTATTAAAGTAATTTTAAACCAGCGCAGAACTAATGAGCCTGATAAACATAGGCCTCCGAATGTAAAACAAGGCTATTGACAGCCACGTGCCCTTAGCACTAGCACATGAAGTTGTATCGGTGTGACAGGAATGGTAGTCCTAGGAATAGAAGTTCGGTGTCCCAGATGACAAGTACAGGTCAGACCCGTGGCCAGGAATTTCAAAAGGGGGACTTTTTTTCTGAAAAATTGGACCTTTTACCATGAAACCTTCACGTACTTAGATAAAATTTTACCCAGAGGGGACCTTTTTACATCAAAAGGGTTTTTTTCGAATCCCCCAAATCCCCCCCCCCCTCCCCCCGGCTACGGGCCGGACAGGTTAGGGTTAGTCTGAGTATTGGGGTTAGTATATGGGACGAATGTCACCTGTACAAAGTAATGGGAAGCTGACTACGGTTCCTAGCGGACTACCATTCCTGTCACACCGGTGCAGCTAACAATATGAAATCACATTAACCATAAATACAAGTTTGAGTGGCTGGTGGGCTTCTGCCTACACAGTTAAGCGTAATAGCCAGAGAGCTGAAGACGAGTCTCCTTCTACGGGACCTACATGTATCATGACCCTCCCTCCCCCCCCCCCCCCCCCCCCCCAATAAATAGGGCTGTGTTTGTTAAAGCATATCAGTGACATAAGAGCGATATTAGTTGGCTGATATTAATGTCACCCTGAAATCTCGGGCACACGCAGTGACAAGTGACATCAACTATAAATAAATATTGAGGAAGACCTCCCGTACGGGGGTAGAGGGGGGGCACCTGTAACGAGTAGGCGTAACTGTAATGCCTATAGCAGTGGTCTGAACCTTGTAATTACCACAGTAATACGCAGCGTTTTCAAAGACATAATGTTTGACTTGGACAAGGTTGAGAACCAGTTAATATTGTAGTCGGACACCAAGCCGGGCTGGTCTTACAGCGTTCTTATAACTCCAGTACAATATTATCCCAATATTATATGTTTACACAAGTCATGTATCTGTTTGGATGTCGGATGACCGTGAGTCTACCTGAATGTAACGAACCGATGTTTATAGTTTTTAACATTCTGTTTCCTTATTCAGCTAGTACTGTAACATATATTATACCAAAGTTTTCACAGAGTTGTTTTTTTACCTTATATGATGATGGACTTCTCAAGTTGACTTGTAGCGGCTGCTGCGTGTTGGATGGTCGTGCGGTTTCTAATTACGCCAATAGGTATTAGGCAATTAATGGATTGAAATCTTTAAATATTTAAAGTCTCTAAATTTTTTCAGCATTATGCTGTATGATAATTTATCTTTCAAATATTTTTATTGTTTACATGATTATTTATCTAAATTGAGGCAAACAAACATTTATATGTACTACAATATCAAAAATATTTATATTTTAAGACCTGTGGTAGTTAAAGACATACCACGCATGCGCTGGGGTTACTACCAACACAGAAGTTCCGCAGCATTCATTGCAGCTTTAAATAGGCTATTAAAATGTTTACTTAAAGCTCGAGCTGAGCCAAAAGGGGGTCACTTTAACAATAGCCATAAACTGCATATCTGTGACTTTTATACAAACTTAATACACTATTATGAAACAGCTACAAGTGCAGGAAAAACAAACCTCTCAGAAAAATCAAGCGGGACAGAGAGCGCACTGTTAGGGTATTCTGTACTTGCCAAGAAATCAATTTAAAATTCATGTAGGCCTACTTAAAAAAATGACTTAACTCAAGGTTCGATCCACAGGTGTGGCTCTGTTAAATTATTCTGATAAAGAGTAATAAGTGAATATAACATAACTAGCGTAACGTCGTTGCTCCCTTTTACAACCAACGTATCGGTTCATTGAGCAGCCCATTCGGGGGGGGGGGGTGATTACAGTCTACAATAATAATAAAATCATCAAATCTCAAATCACCTTAAAAAAATGAGTCTGGCGAGTTGAACACCACGCATCACCGAGTAGGCTAAAATGACTTCGTTTCATGAAGGACGAGGAATAAAAATTCGCATTCACAAGTCACGGGAATAGACACACCGAATAGAGAGCTGCACGTGTCATGCTAAATAATATGAACGTTTCATGCAGGCCCGTAGCCAGGGGGGTTCGGGGGGTTCGAAAGGACAGCCCTTTTTGTCATAAAAAAGGTCCATTATTGGTAAATAAGGTACACAAAGGTTTCATTGTAAAAGGTCCACTTTTTCAGAAAAAGAACTTCTGGATTTGCTGGCTACGGGCCTGTTATGGCTTTCATGGCTTTCAATGGTAACTAATGGGACCCTCTTCATTAACTGCATTTAGCTAACTCGCTCTTTTATACCCATACAACTGTTACATTTATTTCTGCTGCAGAGTTCTGAATGTGCCTTCATAGGCCTACTACCTCTGCACCCTGTGTGAAAGGCCGTCAGTCTGGAAACGTTGCAGCACTTTTTGACTTCCCTCACAGGCGCGTCAGGTGTAGGCCTATCCTCCAATCCAAAGGATACTGTACAAAATACTAAAACGGAGCTTTGATTTTTTTACTATATTTGATATTTTTGATAATTCATCGGTTGCACAATCAGCAAATTTTTGTGAAAAAAAATCCTCTTAGAAGTCGAATAAAAAGCATCGGTTCATGACATTATTATCTGTATCACTTTATGCATTGCAGGAATGACACTATTTTTGCCAGGAGAGTATACAATACTAATAAGGCATATAAGATATTTATCGATAGTGATTCCTACAGTAAGGGATATTATAACCCATTAACATACATGTGCTGGTACATTTACTAAGGATCTTTAACACATATAAACTGATGACAATTTTAATCAAAGCAAGGTGAAGTAAAGCAATTGTTAGAAAACAATACTTTTATTTTAACTGAAAGTGCCCGTTACAATATGATTATGGCTCTTTCTAATCTAAGATCTAATAAACTGGTATATTAGATCTTAGTTCTAATTGATAACATATCTTTTAATTACCTCCTCCAAGAAGGTTATGTTTTCACTCCTGTTTGTTTGTTTGTGTGTTTTTCTGTCATCAACATAACTCAAAAAGTTATGGACCGATTTTGATGAAATTTTCAGGAACTGTCAGAAGTGGGCTAAGGAACAGATGATTAGTTTTTGGTGGTGATCCGGATCAATAATCAATCAAAAATCAATAATAATAAAAAATTGCTGCCTTGGCGGAGGTCTGCGCTCTCGGAGTGCTTTTCTAGTTCAGGTAATATGATTCTAACTCAGAATCCTAAATAACTGTACCAAATTTTGACATACCAGTTCAAAGTTGACAATAAAAACGCTTTGAATTGCAATTTTGTCGTGAAATCCCCATTATTATCATACACATAATTTAGCAAAAATTACATTTGAGTCTCTTACGAGATGCAAGATACAAATGTGTAATGATATATGTTGCTCCGATCTAGATTTGTTTCTGGACATGCAGTTGCTATTAAACTCGGTCTAAAATACGTGTTAAATGGATATTCACATGTACAATTACAAGTAATCACCAAATCACTGTCACCGGATACAAATGAGTAGGCCTATTGATGTATGTCGCTTCCGTTCGGTTGATTTAAAGAAAGATTTGTTTCTGGACACAGAAAGAAATAGGTTTTATAAAAGTCGAGCAAAATGCGTGTTGTGTGTGAGGTAAATGTAATACGCTGTCGCCTGAGCGATAAAGGCTAGTAGGCCCTATACAGTAGGCCTATAAGTCAAGCGAGTTTTTCTTTACATAGAACTGACGTCATCACTGAGCTTTCTGGAAGAGTAGGCCTATAGGGTCGCATTCACAACCAAAGTTGAACCGCGGACTAACAGATCCACGGATATAATATGGCCGACCCACTTGAAAGCTTCCCGCGAAATCCCCACGATGTGTCTATTCAGGGTCTATTAGAATTTTATGCGGCAGGCTTTTAAGTGGGCCGACCATATTTGATCCTCGGATCTGTTAGTACGCGGATCAATTTGCTTTGAATGCACCCTAGGGCAACCATGCATAGGCTTTTTCATGTGATATTCTCTAAATTGAACAGAATAAAGTAATACATGTTATATAGAATAGTACTGTATAATGAGAGTATCAGTAAATTCCTATGGGGGTTATACTATTATATCGAGATCTAAAGACAACCAATGTTGACAATATAATATTCATTTTCACTTGTCACTGCATACAGTGCTCATATTTTAAGATATTTACAATACACACACGCACACGCACACGCACGCACACACACACACGGGCAAAGCTAAAAATGAAGACATCATCAAAGAAGTAACGGAAGAATCGGGGTATTTGGTATTGGCCCACGTTGTCTCGAAGGAAAAGATAACCTGTGCCCGAATGCTAATTAACTATTTAGTTGAAAATAAAAGATCGGAAGTGACCTCTTCATCAAGACTTTCTGAAGCGTGCCTTTCCGCGGGGTCAGGTTATTCGGAAGTCTCTCTCTCTCTCTCTCTCTCTCTCTCGTTTTGATATATATAAGAAGGGGAAATGCTGTAGCTGTGCCCAAGATATGGTAGAGACAACTAACGCATTCGTGGGACTCGGGGGGGGGGGGGGGGATATGTAGAATGTTGAACTTCCATAGGCAAAGATAACTTCAAAAATTAAAGTTAAAGGTTTCGAAGCACTGGGGGCAATATCATGGCGTGAAATACTCTTTTACAGCGGATTTTGATAGTATTTTCAACACTGTTTTTTATTTATCTTTGATCAGTGAATTTTTGTATATATCTTGCTAATTGTGTTTTAAGTGTTTTCATTATATTTGTGTAAAATCTACTAAATATGTCAAATGAAATTGAACTTTAAATAAATTCATTTTCTTAATTATTATTATAACAAATAGGAAAATATGATAAGAAACTGATTGTTCACCGAAACCCAATATAGAGGTGCATTTCACGAGTTCAAGTCTCAAAAAATGAAATTGAATGAATTTGAAGTAGTATCCAATTTTTTAAAACTTATATGTGTATAGAACAAAAATCCACGAATCCATATATTTAGAAACATGTCTGTGACCTCATTTGCACCTCTAAATTGGGTGTGTTACATCCACCTAACCGTAAAATCTATGCATTTTAATGTAACCATCTTTTAGCATAAGTTCCTATTAACATACGTAAACAAAAGACATGTTCATATATAAGGTGTGCAGGTGCAATGAACGTGAATGAATTTCTAATGCTTATTTCTTTTATTTAACAAATCACGCAAGGCTGCACTTCACTGCGCAAAAAGAACAGATCATGCGTCATCTTTAGCAGCGGTATTTGCTTTTCATTGAGGCAAGCAAGCATACTGAACGAGGGTTGGAAGGTGTACACTGTACATGAAATCCTCCAAAGAATAAATCTACTTATCATTTAATACAGCAATATGTTACCCTCTACCAGGGCGAGTGATAGATTTTTTACAGATATTCACAGATATGTCAGTTGAGTTGAGCCCTAAATGACCATCTATCTAGCTAGAGACATATCTGTGAATATCTGTAAAAAAATCTATCACTCGCCCTGGTAGAGGGTAGCCATATGTCACTGAAAAAGATTCTTATGACCTGTATATTTTAAAGTAATATATGAAAAACGTTTAATGACCCTTTTCCATTCAGAAAATATCAGTTTTTTACTCCCAAAAAGTACAACACGCCCGAGAAAGATAAAATTAAAAGAAAAATCGTGTTGCAAACCACACCGCAATCTTATTCACGAACACGTGCTCTCATAGAAGTAACAGGCGACAGACATTAATAGATACCAGTATGATACACTGGCGTGTCATTGAGTGCATTTACATATACCAGATGAGATGTTAGTTATGGGGTTTTATGTGATTTTTATTCACCGGGCTTTATACCATTACTGATGACAGGACAGCGCCACGCTCTGATACTAGTACAGTACGTCTATGCACGACTAATAGTACAAAATATATATATCTGATATTAGACCCCCTACAGGCCATTAGCCAGGGGGTATGAGAGGTTCGAAAGAACCTCCCTTTTTGTCAGGAAAAGGTTCATTCTTGGTAAAATTTGATCTAGGAACAGATAGGTTTCATTGTAAAAGGTTCACTTTTTCAGAAAAAGACACCCCCTTTTGAATTTGTTGGCTACGGGTCTGACCTAAAATACTATACAAAATCGCTTTCAACATTTTTGCATCAGACTACTACTATGCTAGTGCACCCTGTGGTCAGACAGTACAAAAAAGGCACAGAAAGACAGGCTGCTTATATGGAAGTTTTACGAGCACAGAAATATGGCACAACAATAAAAAATTGAAGGGCGAAAAATTCCACTATTATGCTCTGCAGAAAAGGATAAGGATTGGTCTATGCAGACTGTTCAGTAAGGAAATTGATCCCACTTGTCGTATCAGATAAAAATGTCATGTAGGGATTATCTTTTATATCACATGTTTTTAACATGCTGGTGTGAAAAAACATGACCTTTTCCTTTCTTCCCGTATAGTCTAGTAGAGAAAGCACTGTTGAATGAGAAGACGTGTCCCCGTGGTGCGTAAAGCATACAAAAAATTTTCAATTTTTCAAATGTGAACAGTAGTTGTGGGCATGAACAAAGTCTTGACAACATCGCAAAAATGCCTATGCCTATGACAAAATTTAATTTAATTTTTTTTCTCAACGATTTCTAAAATTTTGACATTACATATGTAATAACAGGGATATGGTAAGACAACAAAGTTCGACATGTAGCCTTAAATTCTCATTATTCTTATTTTAACATTTTCACCATGTCATATTTTGTCTGCCCACACATTTTCTTAGCTCTACATGTAGGCTATGTAGTTCTTCTAAAACATCCCCCTAAATGCTGCTCACACTTTATCTTTGATTAAAAAAAAGGGTCAATGGGTTTTGTCTTGAAGCATTTAAACACCACTTTATGCGTTTCAACTTCAAAAAAATGATAAAAATAATTTCTTGCACGAAATCAACGAATCGGTGCTACATTACGTACTTGACAATGAAACGGGTCGCACACGACTTGCTTCATTAGATATATGCACACGGGCACAATGTTTATGGTCAGAATGCGAAGTACACTGAACAATATACACAATGCAAGGTGGGCGAAATGGGGCACAGGCTACGGGGGCAGTTATTGTCCAGAACCGACCGCGCCGTTGGGGTTTTCTGCTCCTATTTTCCCGCTGGCTATTTTAGGGGAGGGTGATGTTAATGTTGGTTCAAGCTAAGATTGTTATAACACAAAGGAGTGAAATTGTGCATATTTATAGGTCCAATTTTACAGCGATTTTGAAATGGCTATTGTTGTGAAAAATGTCTGTGTGATTGCGGTAATTGATATGCAGTAGTTTGATATTACACTCTGCTGGATGATTTTTAGCTGTCGTTTGTGTTTCTGTCTCCTCATTCATCCCCCCCCCCCCCCCACACACACACACACACACCCAAACAAAATTTAAACTGGGAAAAGACGAGGAACCAGACACTGATAACTTATTTTCTTTTTCGTCATCAGGCTTCAGTTACGCTCCATCCGGCTAACGGGAAACAAGTTATACAAAAGCTTTAAAAAGCTTTAAAAAAATCTTTATTTATTTATTAATTTTTCCATTCATATGTCAATCTCACAATCTGCTGCGTAAAATTCTAATAAACAGATTCATTAAATTAAGTTAATACTAATTTACATTATTGAACTTGACAGCTCCTAAGGCGCGGCTTTCTCTATGACATCATATAGTTACAAAGACTTCAACTTGAGACCAAACACGCATTTAAATCAACAAATCCAGATTAGCCAAAAGCAACATTACGCAAATAAATTCATTCCGTAATGTCCGCTGACCCAAATCAGGTACAATGATATTGGTCCAATACAATGGATATTGGTTTATATAAATAAAAGAAATAGTAAGGAGAGTTGTAATCATCTTCAATAGTTCATAACACACAAATATAGCTGTTGAACCCAGCGTATAAGTGAAAAGGAGGCCCGCTTAGGGGATGTGAGATTCCATTAAAATTGAGTTGAAGTTCTAAATAAAAACGCGCTTTATGTTTACGTTTTGTGCGTTTACGTTTAAATATGTATTTTGTTCTGTGTGATGATGATGTTAAGAATACTGGTATTAAATGTATAACTTAGCTTGGGTTTGCTTGGGTTTACCTTCATGAGATTACATACACCTGTCTGCGTTGAATGGACGGATATTATACAATATTCATATCAGTGACAAGTAACAATGCACTTACTTTTTTATGTGCTCAAGAAGAAATCTAGAGGGTATATAAATAAGGATGCAAAATGACAGCTGACATGAAAGGAAGAGTCTTTTGAAATTAAGTCGTGACCATAGCGTCTCTTATTTGCCCAATACACTGAGCCTCCAAAAGCTGACCCCGGGGGCACTACCACGCGCGGACCAAAGCCCGATAAGAAAACTGTGAAAACTTTGAGCCCAGTGTACGGAAACAAATGGTCCACACCGCTGATTGTATTTATATGTTGAATGTACACACGCTAGGGTCGGGGGCACCTCATTCTGATTCAAACCTGGTAACTTGCAGTCACAAGTACACTGTAGATCAGACCCGCCACTATATTGGGACCAAACGCGTCCTCATCGGTGGTCTTCAGCCTCGCTCAGCCCTCTTATCTGTCGAGAAAGACCTCCCAGCTGTTACGTACAGCTTCGCTGAGAGAACTCAATAATACACGTACCAGTGACCTGTCGTAATACGTGGAGAAAAAATGGCGCGCCGGAGCAGAGTGAGACTAACTTCGACTTTGCTTGTACTCCAAGCTCTCTTCATCATTCTATTCGCCGTGTTTGTTGATTATGACATTGATGCCGACGCTAAGTACCACCCCTACGTTAGCGACCCCTCGCTGTTTCATTTAAGCGACGCCAGTGCAGCGGCAAGAGATGGTGGCGGAAGTTCTCAAAATGACGGAGACAGCGTTACGTATAATGGTAAGAAGTCAAAAACTGGTTGGCATATACGGATGGTGTCGAACAGTGACGTTGCTGCCCCACCTACGTCCAACGCTGGCACGTCAAACGCAGGCGACGCGGCAACGGCGGAAACCGAAGACCGCGGTGTTAACGGCAGCGGCAGTGATGGAGAAAGGAAACGGCGGCAAATTAGTGCGCCTACATTCAAAAACGCAACGGCAAATGAAAGTGTTCCCTTGACAACAGAAAGTAAGAATTTTTATTTATTCATTCCTTAATAGCGCTTTATAAAAATCCTAACCAATTCTCTTCGGCGGATCATTAAAGATGTGTATGCATGGATTATTAAATCTGTGACCCACATGGAAAACGCCTAAAATAACAGCTTGAATATAGCTTAAAGCCAATCGCAATATGCATGAATAGATTAAATTGCCTGTCCTAATTTTTTAACGGCCTATAATATATGATACTCATCACTGTATTAATGCAGTGATACATAATAAAATTCTCTCTCTCTCTCTCTCTCTCTCTCTCTCTCTCTCTCTCTCTCTCTGGTCCTGTCCCATCGCCTTCTTCCATTTTCAGCCTATCCCCAACCTTCTTCCGTAGCTCCAACCTTCTTCCGTTTATACCACGAAGGAGCACACACACACACACACACACACACACACACGCATCGAAGCAAACACAAATATTACATACAGACTGTAATTATTTCAAATACATGAAATCACACACGCACGCCCATCTATATGGTACGTAATATCAGCAAGGTGTGAAGTGTCCCCTAAGTTCTCCGCTAAGGTGACACATACTTGTGTTCACATGATCGATCAAGGATGACCAGAAACACATCATCGTACATGTACGAGCGAATAACAGTGAGGCAAGGGTACTCTTTACAAGAAGTTTAATGACGTGGTTTTTGTGCAAATATCATCACAGAATACGAACATGTACACAGCTCACGGATTGCCAGAGAAATAGTTGTGAAAATCTTATTAAAATCCCTCTGTCGTCTTAGTAGAAGTGAAGGCATTGGTTGAATGAAGACGGAAATGAGCACTATCTGATTTTTAAAACAGAGCCATCTAAACAGTGCCTTGGAAAAACATGTTTCCAGCAAACAATTTGGACAAAAAAAGAAAGAAAAAACTGGGGGGGGTCTTAAGATTGAACTAGGATCAAGTGCACGGTGCGCCTGTTTATTTAATCCTTCAAGAGCATCTCCACTGCAGAGATAAGTGTACGTGAATATGCCTACTTACCCTTATTTGATAAGGACGGTTTGTGTAATAGATTAAAACACTCCAGGGCCGCTTTTCCGGCGAACACAGGGCTCATTCCCATTAAAACTGTCAGTCTAAGTAGATCGATCCAGCTCCGCCGGCACTTTCGCTGAATGCAATCAGTTTAACAGATTGACACACCTCTTTTTGTTTCCAACCTTCTCGTATAATCGCTAGCTTTTCTGTATTCTACTCAGGCGTTTTAGCCTGTTAAACTGATTGCATTCAGTCAAAATACTCCTCGGAGTTGGATCGATCTACGTTCACCGACAGTTTCAATGTGAATGAGCCCCTAGACCCGCTTTTCCTCAGCCAGACAGGTAACTACACATTTTTACCACATTTCTCCAGACATTGATAAATCTTACGGCACGTGACTTGCCTGAGTTAAAGTGACAGGTGAGGGAAAGACAGGAATTAGATTGTTTGCCCATGACAAAAACAGTACTGGAGCTGTCGCATTTGATGTGTAGGACCACTGAATAAGCTTCTTTCCCCTACAGCTTAATACATGGTATGCCCATGTAATATATGAGGCCGACTGTACTGCTTTAGAGCTTTAGAAAACCATTCTCAGGGGGAGCAGTCAAAAGATGGGACAGACAAATGGCAGATCCGACTGTGGGGACGATAGGACACGCCCCTCCCCTCCTCACCAGGACTCAGCTCGAAAAAAAAAGAAAGTAAAAGAAAAACAGTTTTTCAAGTAAACAAGACAAAAGCAATGTTTTTTATCTTTGTGACCCATATATTAAAGTCACAATGTCCTTATCTACTAATATTATATTTTCCTCGCCTTGTTTGGTTAAAATCAGTGCCTTTTTTCCCCCTGCTCCCTTGTGCATGTGTGGGGATTTCTTTCATTCCTGTCCATTCGATGATGTGCCAGATAAAATTGTGTTCTTCTGCTCATCTAACGCAATGGCATTTACCTTCAGGTACCACGGCAGACCGGATGCAGTGGGTGTACACTGACACGAAAGCGAACAAGTTGAAGTCTTATTATCCAAGTAAGTCTGTAGCATGCTATGTTGATTGCTATGTTATGAAGCTGTAGAGAATGGGACGCATATGTGATTGCATCAGATATGTGGATAGCCTTTATTGTTTCATGTTTCCCAAGACGACAATGTCATATATTTATAGCCGAATAACTAAATTAAACGGACAAATACAATTAAATTAAATTAAAAAATAAAAATAAAATGAAATAAAATAATATGATTGCAGCGTACATCCTATTGTATGTCCACAAGTATTACAACTTGATAATAACACTCAAAATGGAAAAAAAATGAAATCACAGGTAGACATTTAAAGTATGTACATAAAAGTGTGACTACCCCGTGGATGTCCTAGCAGACGAACTGCATGCACTGTATAAAAAGTGAAGATCATATATCAGGTACTGTTCCTCGAGTCCATAGCGGGATTTTCTTATAACATTTGGTTAGATTCCAATGCACAGTGTGGACCTACTACTTAGTAGTCAGTTTTATAATCAGATGAAAGTACTGTATGGTTTCTTTACGGGGATTCAAAAAGCACTCGCCACTGTTAAAAAAAATTGCTTTCAGTTTCTGTGATATTGCAAATGTCAATAGGCAGATTTCTGTTAATGATTTTGACCCCGTTTTTCATAAAAAAATAAATACGGAGAAATTCATTATGATTAAGTCAGAAAATTTGCACAGACACACCAAGCGTTGCCATGCAAATCATTTCGTTTTTGCTATCTTAAACGCCTTCAATATAAGACACCTTGTCTATGAAATTCATAATTGTATAAAACCAGCCGTTCGGTTGACCTTTGTGTTGATGCGGTCTAAACAGATTGGTCGTCGACCCTGGGTCTGGGGGTGAAAGATATTCGAAGAACTGGTGTCGATTGTAATAACGAGTAACACCTATAAAAAGCGGTATTTTGGGCCGGCTCTATCGTGTCTTCATGTGTCTTGAGGCAAACTGCAATTATGATACTTCACTGATTTACTTCAGTATATGTAGGCGTTATAGTAAGAACAGACATGAACACACAATGGGAGTAATGAGACTTTGCATGTTTAACAGAGAAAGCATTGTAACGAACAAGTCAGATTGTGTCACAAAGGTGATATAAATGTCAGAGCAGTGCCGGTATGTCACACAAATACAACAATGCCACAGCTGAGAAATTATTATATAGCAAAAAACACAGTTTTTTTTTTTTATTTTTTGGGGGCCAACCATGATATTATTTTAAATAAATTTAGTGTATTTTTCACGGAATATAATCGAAAATCCTCTGCGAGTTAAAGTCACCTGTATGTACAAATCTTCTGTATCAATTGTAAACGCACCATTGCTCTGGCACCCCGTCTTGGATATGTGACAAGACACACATGAATATTTAGCAGTTTATGTAACTTCCGGTAACTCCGGAAGTCACGTGGTGAATTTTATATTCATTCACTGTGTGTGCACGTGTGGCACGTGTGTTGTGTGCANATTGCCTGTCCTAAATTTTAACGGCCTATAATATATGATACTCATTACTGTATTAATGCAGTGATACGTAATAAAATTCTCTCTCTCTCTCTCTCTCTCTCTCTCTCTCTCTCTCTCTCTCTCTCTCTCTCTCTCTCTCTCTCTCTCTGGTCCTGTCCCATCGCCTCCGTCCATTCCTAACTTTCTTCCGTTTATACCACGAAGGAACACACACAAACGCATCCAAGCAAACACAGATATTACATTATTACATACGCACTCTATTTCAAATACATGAAATCTCGTCTATACGGTAGGTAATATCAGCAAGGTGTAAAGTGTCTTCTAAGTTCTCCGCTAAGGTGACACATACTTGTGTTCACATGATCGATCAAGGATGACCAGAAACACATCATCGTACATGTACGAGCGAATAACAGTGAGGCAAGGGTACTCTTTACAAGAAGTTTAATGACGTGGTTTTTGTGCAAATATCATCACAGAATACGAACATGTACACAGCTCACGGATAGCCAGAGACATAGTTGTGAATATCTTATTAAAATCCCTCTGTCGTCTTAGTAGAAGTGAAGGCATTGGTTGAATGAAGACGGAAATGAGCACTATCTGATGTTTAAAACAGAGCCATCTAAACAGTGCCTTGGAAAAAACATGTTTCCAGCAAACAATTTGGACAAAAAAAGAAAGAAAAAACTGGGGGGGGGGGGTCTTGAGATAGAACCAGGATCAAGTGCACGGTGTGCCTGTTTATTTAATCCTTCAAGAGCATCTCCACAGCAGAGATAAGTGTACGTGAATATGCCTACTTACCCTTATTTGATAAGGACGGTTTGTGTAATAGATTAAAACACTCCAGGGCCGCTTTTCCGGCGAACACAGGGCTCATTCCCATTAAAACTGTCAGTCTAAGTAGATCGATCCAGCTCCGCCGGCACTTTTGCTGAATGCAATCAGTTTAGCAGATTGACACACCTCTTTTCGTTTCCAACGTTCTCGTATAATCGCTAGCTTTTCTGTATTCCACTCAGGCGTTTTAGCCTGTTAAACTGATTGCATTCAGTCAAAATACTCCTCGGAGTTGGATCGATCTACGTACACCGACAGTTTCAATGTGAATGAGCCCCTAGACCCGCTTTTCCTCAGCCACGCAAGTGATTACATTTCTCCAGACATTGATAAATCTAACGGCACGTGACTTGCCTGAATTAAAGTGACAGGTGAGGGAAAGACGGGAATTAGATTGTTTGCCCATGACAAAAACAGAACTGGAGCTGTCGCATTTGATGTGTAGGACCACTGAATAAGCTTCTTTCCCCTACAGCTTAATACATGGTATGCCCATGTAATATATGAGGCCGACTGTACTGCTTTATTAGGGCATTAAAAAGTCATCCCCACGGGGAGCAGTCAAAAGATGGGACAGACAAATGGCAGATCCGACTGTGGGGACGATAGGACACGCCCCTCCCCTCCTCACCAAGACTCAGCTCGGAAAAAAGAAAGTAAAAAAAACAGTATTTCAAGTAAAACAAGACAAAAGCAATGTTTTTTATCTTTGTGACCAATATATTAAAGTCACAATATCCTTGTCTACTAATATTATATTTTCCTCGCCTTGTTTGGTTAAAATCCGTGCCCTTGTTCCCCTGCTCCCTTGTGCATGTGTGGGGATTTCTTTCATTCCTGTCCATTCGAGGATGTGCCAGATAAAATTGTGTTCTTCTGCTCATCTAACGCAATGACATTTACCTTCAGGTACCACTACAGACTGGAGGCAGTGGGTGTACTCTGACCCGAAAGCAAACAAGTTGAAGTCTTATTATCCAAGTAAGTCTGTAGCATGCTATGTTGATTGCTATGTTATGAAGCTGTAGAGAAAGGGACGCATAAGTGATTGCAACAGATATGTGGATAGCCTTTATTGTTTCATGTTTCCCAAGACGACAATGTCATATATTTATAGCCGAATAACTAAATTAAACGGACAAATAAAATTAAATTAAATTAAAAAACAAAAATAGAATGAAATAAAATAATACAATTGCAGCGTACATCCTATTGTATGCCCCCAAGTTTAACAACTTGATAATAACACTCAAAATGAAAAAAAAAATGAAATCACAGGTAGACATTTAAAGTATGTACATAAAAGTGTGACTACCCCGTGGACATCCTAGCGGACAAACTGCATGTACTTTATAAAGAGTGAAGATCATATATCAGACACTGTTCCTCGAGTGCAATTCCATAGCGGGACTTTCTTATAACATTTGGTTAGATTCCAATGCACAGTGTGGGCCAGGATTCAGGAGTCAGTTTTATTATCAGCTGAAAGTACTGTAGGGTTTCTTTACGGGGATTCAAAAAGCACTCGCCACTGTTGAAAAAAATTCCTTTCAGTTTCTGTGATATTGCAAATGTCAATAGGCATATTTTTGTCAATGATTTTGACCCCGTTTTTCATAAATAAATACGGGGTCAAAATCATTATGATTAAGTCAGAAAATTTGCACAGACACACCAAGCGTTGCCATGCAAATCATTTCGTTTTTGCTATCTTAAACGCCTTCAGTATAAGACACCTTGTCTATGAAATTCATAATTGTATAAAACCAGCCGTTCGGTTGTCCTTTGTGTTGATGCGGTCTAAACAGATTGGTCGTCGACCCTGGGTCTGGGGGTGAAAGATATTCGAAGAACTGGTGTCGATTGTAATAACGCCTAACACCTATAAAAAAAGCGGTATTTTGGGCCGGCTCTTTTTTGCCTTCATGTGTCTTGATGCAAACTGCAATTATGATACTTCACTGATTTACTTCAGGCAGTATATGTAGGCGTTATAGTAAGAATACACGTGAACACACAATGGGAGTAATGAGACTTTGCATGTTTAACAGAGAAAGCATTGTAACGAACAAGTCAGATTGTGTCACAAAGGTGATATAAAGAGCAGTGCCGGTATGTCACACAAATACAACAATGCCACAGCTGAGAAATTATTATATAGCAAAAAACACAGTTTTTTTTTTTTTGGGGGGGGGGGGGGGGGGGGCAACCATGATATTATTTTTAATAAATTTAGTGTATTTTTCACGGAATATAATCGAAAATCCTCTGCGAGTTAAAGTCACCTGTATGTACAAATCTTCTGTATCAATTGTAAACGCACCATTGCTCTGGCAACCCGTCTTGCAAGTGACAAGACACTCATGAATATTTAGCAGTTTATGTAACTTCCGGTAACTCCGGAAGTCACGCAGTGAATTTTATATTCATTCACTGTGTGTGCAAAGACCAAGAGGCACGTGTGTTGTGTGCGGTTGTGTGCTCTAGGCGTTGTCCGAAGTTGTCTGTCAGGGGGCCTTATATATGCCGTCTTCTTACATATGCTTCTTTTTATATACCTTATTATGCCACCGTCAGGCCGTTAAATGACTTTATATGCCACAATTGAACTGAATAAACTTTTGGAAAACTAATCATCTTTGTCATTGTTGCCATGCTATGAAAATATAAACAGTCG